TTTCAATGATAACTTAGAAATGCAGCATAGTGTTGATTCAGTTTTCTTTTTAGTATATCAAATTATCCAGGCCCTATCGCTTTTGACCATTTTAATATTTACGCCAACCCAAATTCAAATACTTAGTAAATATTTAATTTTAACCAAGTAAGTAAACGTTTGTAGCAAACTGTCAAATTAGCAAACCTATTGACTGTTTACAATTAACATTATTATGTTCTTCTTCTCACTTTTGATATCTGACAACAGCTGGAGTTTCATAACAATGTTTGTTTCCCATGTTAATCTTATGGAGGAATACGAAACTTTAAAGGACCTCAGGGCCTCACTATCTAATTATTTCCCTAAAAAGAAAGTTTCCTGCACAACTTCACGTTGCGCTCTTTCCAATAACACCAAAAACATTTACAACTTAATTTGTAAAAAAACGGAAACCCTAAAAAAATTATGTTCATCAAGCAATGTTCAGGGTTTGCTTAAAAAAAACACAGGACAGTGATACGTTCATGATATTATCAAGTAAAAAATAGATGATTTTCAACTTACATCAGAGCAGTAGAAAATGTGAATTTATTAAAATATCACGAATTTTAAGTCACTACGTGACGCTGGCTACTACAATATAATAATGTAGTTGTAATAATCTATATATTTTAATGCGAAATTCCGATCAACGCACAGGCCAAACCACAGCACCTACAAGTATGAGATTTTGCATACATATTCCTCTCATAGCGTAGGCAGAAAATAAGAAGCGATTTTGCCAAATGCCCAATGGGCCTCGCCCCACAGAAGGTCAAAGTTAGCATGGAGTTCGTATAGAAAGAAAAATTTAAAGAGATGTAAGGATTTCTCTCGAGTGAGCCAATTGCTAACTTTGCTCACTAGTTGCACAAATAACTATTATCTATGATAGTATTTTACTGAATTATCATGTAATTTTAAATTCGCAGTGCTAGACCTTGCTTTCCTGTACTTCCCCAATACTTTGTTATTTACACTGATTTAGGTCATGTTAATTGGAAAGGGAAAACTAAGGGTTGTAAAAGTGCCTTTCCATATTTATGGTTGTCTCTATGTATTGGCCGAAAGGGGCTATTGAATCCAGACGCGGTGGCGTTCTTTTGAAGATATTGACCGCTCCCTTGGACTTCCCCCAAGACATCCGTTCTAAGAAAGATGTAAGCTTCGCTCAGAAAATAGGAGAAAAATTATAACAGCTCCTTTTCATATTTATATGATAGTGTGATTTTAATAAAAAGTTGTTTTACTTATATATGAATTATATTACATCTTAAAACGTGTTTATTAGCTCGCTTTCATGTCCGGTACAAATTTTGCAATCAATTTTATACTAACTTCCCGATGAGGTAGAGACTTGAAACTTGAAACATAGCTCACAAATGGAAGACAATGCAATATTATATCATTTAATTTTCATATTTCCCTTGGGCTACGCCCCATGGGCTTGTTTTTATTAACTCGCTTTCTTGCAAATTTTAATACTTGGCTTGTAAACATTCATATTATTAACTATTTCATGAACATACTTGGAAAATATTATAATTGTTTAGTGCTATGTCGGTGTTCACCAACAAAGTGTCTTGATATGATTTTATTTTCCGGGTTCTGTTCTCAAATGCGGCTGTAATCTGACGTGAATACAGTCGTCAGTTTCCTCATATGTGTCTTTCAAATGAACGAATATTCATCAGAGTCCATACAAGTTTCCATGGGCACTAAACATAATTCTGTTGGGAACGTGATACATGATGTGTATTGTGTATGTGTTTAAGAAGCTGTGCCAGATGTGTTGGGGTGGTTTGGGGACGATCCACGGACAAGAACAAGGACAGTTTCACGTGACTTAGGTATTTCTCAGCTATTGAGAAAGAAAAAATTGCATCCCTACCATTTTACACGAGTACAGATTATTGAACCAAGAGATTGTCTACAGAGACTTCAGTTATGTTAGTTGACTTGATCATCGTGACTTCCTCAAGTCGATTTTGTGGACAGACGAGTCCAAGTTTACTCGGGATTGTATTTACAACATCCATAATGGACATCACTATGCTACAGAAAACCCACATGTGATACACCAGTGTCGAAACCAAACAAGATTTTAGTTGAATAGATTACTCTAAAACCAGTTAGTTGGCCCTTTCATTGATCTTCCATATTCATTAAACTGCTGTCAGTATCTCAATTCTCAACGTTCTTACTGATACTCTACCAAGGCTCATTGAAGACGTCCCGTTGGATGTACGTAAGCGAATAGTTTAGCAAGCATATGGTGCACCTTCCCACTTCAATAATGGTGTGCGAATTTACATTGGAAATACTTTCCCAATGTGGATGAGCTAAGAAATCGGACTTAAGCTTCCAACCTTCTTGAAGAGGAGCTAAAATTAAAGGCAACAGTGAGAAACTTTCGGAAAAGACCATATTTATGACCACATGTATTAGAGCAAAAATGGTGGACATTTTGAAAACTTACTTTGATTAAAAATCCAGAAACCAGACTCTACAGGATTCACTTTGTTTATTTGTACAAATGTACTAACCTCGATTTTTATCAAATTATTTTGAATTTTTGTCATAGAATTATAAAATAATGAAATAGTTAATAATTTAAATGTTTACAAGCCAACAATTAAAATCAGCTGGTTTTATAAACAAAGTTTAACACCCAGCTGATCAGATGTCAGCTGATTATAAGATAGCAAATAAATTAACAGATACTGTATTATATTTGGTTCAATGTTTTGATTCCGTAAACTCTGACCTTGACGCGGTTTTGACCTAATTTTTCGAGCTTTTAATACAGCAATAACCTTATGGGTTACATAATTTTAAAGGGCATGAAATGGGAAAGCTTTTTACATAATTTGACAAAACATCACATTAGTATGTATAGTTGTAAAACCACTTTGAAGTTGTAAAGAATTAATTTTGAAACTTCTTTTTTTATGTTATGTGAGACATACAACGGTGAAAATATGGTTGTATGTTAAAGGTGTTGCAATGGTTTTGTAGGAAATTTAACGCTCTTTTCATTTTTATAAGTTATTATGCTGTACGTGTATTGGCTTAATTTTTAGGCTCGTTTTAGTGAAGCTACTACAGGTAATTTAAAAAATTCACATAATCGACCATTACAGCATAACGGGTAGGGATGGAAAATTATTGTTTGTCATTTTTTGTTCCTTTTAGTGAGTAGAATAACTGGTAAAAATTAACGCACTTAGTAGAAACTCACCCTGTATAAAAACATCATTTCGCACCGTATTGTCATTGATTTGTGTTTCCGACATCCCTGCAAAACACGTTTGTGGCGTCCGCAGGCGTACCAACCCACATCTATTACAAACCGAAACTTTTCCTGACGCAAATTCCTATAAACCATATAGATTTTGCCTTATAGCTTCGTAATTCACTGGACTGCCGCAATCATATTTACCCTGATTATTCTACACATTGTATATTACCATTAGAAAAACTCAAAGTTGATGTGATGGGCTCAGGAAAAAGATTGTGCACTTTTCCTGATGCGAGTTCCTATCAACCATATACATTTTGCCATATAACTTCGTAATTTACAGGACTGCCGCAATCATACTCATACTGATTATTCTACACATGGTATATTACCATTAGAATACCTCAAAGTTGATGTGATGGGCTTAGGAAAAGGATTGTGCACTTTTCCTGATGCGAATTCCTATCAACCATATACATTTTGCCATATAACTTCGTAATTTACTAGACTGCCTCAATCATATTTATACTGAGTGTTCTACACATTGTATATTAGCATTAGAATACCTCAAAGTTGATGTGATGGGCTTAGGAAAAAGATTGTGCACTTTTCCTGATGCGAGTTCCTATCAACCATATACATTTTGCCATATAACTTCGTAATTTACAGGACTGCCGCAATCATACTCATACTGATTATTCTACACATGGTATATTACCATTAGAATACCTCAAAGTTGATGTGATGGGCTTAGGAAAAGGATTGTGCACTTTTCCTGATGCGAATTCCTATCAACCATATACATTTTGCCATATAACTTCGTAATTTACTGGACTGCCGCAATCATACTCATACTGATTATTCTACACATGGTATATTACCATTAGAATACCTCAAAGTTGATGTGATGGGCTTAGAAAAAAGATTGTGCACTTTTCCTGACGCAAATTCCTATCAACCATATAGATTTTGCCTTATAGCTTCGTAATTCACTGGACTGCCGCAATCATACTCATACTGATTATTCTATACATTGTATATTAGCATTAGAATACATCAAAGTTGATGTGATGGGCTTAGGAAAAAGATTGTGCACTTTTCCTGATGCGAGTTCCTATCAACCATATACATTTTGCCATATAACTTCGTAATTCACTGGACTGCCGCAATCATATTTATACTGAGTATTCTACACATTGTATATTACCATTAGAATACCTCAAAGTTGATGTGATGGGCTCAGGAAAAAGATTGTGCACTTTTCCTGATGCGAGTTCCTATCAACCATATACATTTTGCCTTATAGCTTCGTAATTCACTGGACTGCCTCAATCATATTTATACTGAGTATTCTACACATTGTATATTACCATTAGAATAGCTCAAAGTTGATGTGATGGGCTTGGGAAAAAAAGATTATGCACTTTTTATGTTCGGAGTTTTAATTGATCGCGTTATGTTAAGCCATAGCTACGTATAATGTACACTACGGTCTCAAATATGCCTTTTAAAATACGTCAATTAATTAGTTTTAACTTGTATACACGTTTTATCAATGTATAATTGACATTATATAAATATAAAAACATCATTTCGCACCGTATTGTCATTGAATTGTGTTTCCGACATCCCTGCAAAACACGTTTGTGGCGTCCGCAGGAGTACCAACCCACATCTATTACAAACCGAAAAAGCGCCGATGAAAAGAGCCGCTAACTTCACGACGGTACTTGTCAGGAGGTCTGATAGAATTTGACAATTAACCTTAAATTTTCAGGGTGTTGTTTAGAAACTGATTTTGGATAACCCATTTGGTTGAATTTGTATTTCCATATCCTAAAAATTGCCTCACTATCTTAGTCTTAGTCATGTTTTTGTGATTTTACTTCATAGTTATTCAACATGGTTATTTGCATCAATTGCCTGATCTTATGGGACTCGGAAAGTAGACACAGTACAGGGACATCTGACGTGTCATTCTCTTATTCCAGTTTTAGTTTATTTTAAAGTTTATTGTTTTTATTAGTCAGATATTAACATACCATTATGTCGAATATACTAGATAGTTTAATTTTGTCTCCACCTAATGACTTGTGCTTCAATTGTCACGAATTTACAAAGGTATGCAACATTAGTCTAATCAAAGGTGTTATTATTATTCTATATCGATGTTATTATACCTATACCAATGTTACCCCTGCAAAGAAGATGGTGTTTAGATGTATTAAGGAGCCTAGGCTTAAGCTAGTAAACCCTAAAATGTGTACCTAACTTAGTTATAACCTACGAATGGGGTATTTGTTTAACTGTAAATGCAAAGTCCAAGAGGCGGGTATACTTCTGTATCTATTGGCACAAACAACTGAATTATAATATCGTACGACATATCGATTATTCCATAGCCTATATCGTTTGGTTAGTTAGGTAAGGTTAATCTAACCTAACTAACCAAACGATAATATCTAATGAAACAATCGAATAATCAGTATTTTGATTCTTTAAAATACGGAAAGTCTACACCAAGAGGCAACTAAACATAAGCTAGCTGACTGCCTAAACGTGTTGAATGTACAAAAAATTGTTCTTTAGTCAAAATGTGGTAGAGTTCTGCTAAGAACCTGCGATATATTATCAGATTAAATATCAATAATATCAATATATTGAATATATATCGATTATATACTCGATTATAGATCATCAAATCAAATCAAAATATCTTTATTCGTCATCTGTACATGCTTGGTACATTGATTAGTGTCAATGAATAGCCTATAGCCTATTACATTTAAAATATTTGTAACATAGGCCCTAAAATTAAATACCCCCGCCGCAGCAAACCTGCAGACTAAGCGAATTTCCATTTGATTTACACTGAAATGTCTACTTAAAAATATAACATTTTTTCCCGATTTAAATAGAATTAGTTTAACAAGTACTTAGGTTTGCTGCATCAGGGAGGTAAAACTGTTTTTTTTTTTATGTTAATAGTTAGTAAGAAATAAAAACATTTTTCAAATTTGATCAAAATATGTTCATAAACAAGCAAACTACAACAGTTTACTTATTCTCCATAAGAATAACATGGGAATTTTAAATTTACAATTTTTTTTATTTTCTCCGTAACCATTATGCGCATAATAACGCTTCAATATACTAAATTATTTGTTTTTTTAAGCTCTACAAAATGGTTTGGAAAGAAATTGCTAAATTTTATGTTTTTTGGGTCAAAAATGCGAAAAGCCTATTTTTACCCCATAAAACCCCCCGTAAACCCCCGTTCCCATGGTCCGATCATGCTGGATCGCGAACTCGTTCGAACAAACGTAGGTTTACACGTTTGTACCGAATTTCATCAAAATCGGATCATTTTTGCTCGAGTTATCGTGCTAACGGACACATATATATATATATATAAATATATAAATATATATATATATGAATTTGAACGGATGGTGTTTTTGGTCTCTAGGGACCTCGAAACGAAAAAAAAATCGGTCCCGCGTCCAGGTCTTACCATGAGTACTACGGTAATAGCTTATTCCCTATATGGGAAATTCGCTAAAATGTAATAAAATAAAATTAATAGTACAAATTCTTAAAATATCAAACAGAACTTAAGTTACAGACAATGGTTTTAAACATCAGCACTAAATGGACTAAATTAAATTAAACTAACTAACCAGCACCTCTATAAAAATTATCTAGTGAGTAAATAGCTCTTTCAGTCAAGAAACTTTTTAATGCACGTTTGAATGAATTTAAATTATTATTTTTTTAAATATTATTGCCACCTGGACTGATGTAGAATGATATGATAGGTTACGTACCTTTTTTATTCCGTCGTCAGTCCTAAAATAGTCAAAGGGTGACTAGTTTCGGGTCAGAAATGACCCATTTTCAAACCCATTTTTCATCAAATCGATTGGTCCAAAATCCGACAGAAGTCTTCGTTATGAGGTACAAACACATGTCGACACATAAAGTTCACACATTTACGACACAAAGCACATTTAATGAAAGTAGCCGGCTACATTTTATAAGAGACACACTGACGCAGGTAGCACGGCGGACACCTAAATATTCAAACCGATAATATATCACAGGTTATCTGTAGAACTGTACCCTCACAATGTAGGTCTCATCATTTTAGAAGAACCAACAAATTAAACTAATTGGTTAATTTTATTAGGCTACCTACCTGTCATCAGATTCAAATTGTAAAATTCAATGTGCTGCACGTTTCAGCGATCTGCCATTTTCTTCTACTATACAGTCCCAGGAATATACATTAAATCTGCCTGAGTAGCTTCCTTGATGGCTTAAACACAACACATACATTTAACACACCACATAAATAAATATGCCTACTTTTAGTTTGATGAGCCTATCACGGACACCTACCAAACTAAAAGTATTTAAATCAGTTATCTTCGTCAACCAGCTCCTGTAGTGAAACAAATATTACGGCCGTTTCAGCATCACAGTGCCATCATCAGACTTTCAGCCAGTTGTCGTTAACACACAAAAATCATTAAATAGGCCTAATGTCACACAAAACACATACATGGTTTTTTTACACGTATTTACCATGTATGTGTTCCGTGGGGCATTTTTATTTTGTTTGTGTATTAGCGACTCCTTATCAATTGGATGAACATCTCATGATGGCAAAGTGAAGCTAAAACGGCCGTAACATTTGTTACACTGTACAGGTTGACAAAGGTATCTATTGATTTTTAGTCATAGGATCAGCTCAGAGGCTAGAAAATATTGATTTTAATAAAATTATTTATTTAGGCCTATAGGCTATGTTGTGTGTGTAACCATCTAAGAAATGGCCCAGGCGGATTTAATGTTTATTCCTAGACTGTATAGTGTTAGAAAATGACAGCTCCCAAAAACATGTACTTAGCACGTTGAATGTTACAATTTGGAACTGATGACAGGTAATATTAAACCAATTAGTAAATATTACAGTTCCAGGACTACTATAATGAATTTTTACAAATTAAACATTAAACAATCACAATTGAATGCATTGAATGAGTACATTCTCCAAAACTAAAGATAATTATTCTAAAGGTTTTGTGGAAAAAGTCCACTAGCAAAAGTACAAGTAGAAATGTAATAATGTCTGATTAAAAAAAAAATATTACCTACAATTGGTATTTCTCCAGTAAATCTTGCACCCCAGCATGTTATGTAAGACAATAATACTAAACAAAAATTTTGTTTTCAGGAGTCATTTTCAGTAGATCTCTTCCTTCAAGAACATCGTAACATGGGGAACTTGGAAACTATGCGAGATGATTTAGGTGTTTACCTGAAAACCCTGCGGTCAGCCATGATTGAATTGATCAACAAAGACTACGCAGATTTTGTTAATCTATCCAGTAATCTGATTGGATTAGATAAAGCTATTTCTAGTATTCAGCTGCCTCTAGGCCAACTGAAAGAGGAATTACTTGTAAGTAACCAATTGAAATATTATCCTTAAACTTATTAAGTGTTTTGTCTAGTTATGGCTAGGTAAAAGCAACAGTTTCCCAAACTATTGGGTCTGACATCCCAAGCTAACCTGTACTTGTTTTGTGACCCATCTAACAAATAATATAGCCTATGTAAATATTATTTTTTCTATATTAATATAATACTCATAAAAAATACAGTACCGTAACTCAAAATTATTTCCTGTAAAGTGCATTTTACTGTGTGTGGTTCAGCCCATACATTGATCCTCCGCTGGGAAATAGTTTTTCTTTTTACAAATTTTGTTTAAACCTTAGGCTAAAATAAAAAATACTACGTAAAAAAATATTAAATTCCATAAACAATTTACATACCCTTATGATACACAACTTATTCCACTTTCAGGTTGTACAGAATAATATCGAAGACGCATTGAATGAAGTCACCGCTCAACTTTTAAGACGTAAAAAGCTACAAGAGAGGAAACGAAGTCTGAAAAGCTTAAATAGAGTGCATTGCTCATTGAAGAAGATGAAGACCTTGTTGAATGGAATGAACTCGGAGCAAGATTCTGTGTCAAAACCGCTACGGTTAGAGAGGGCAGCAATGGAGTATAATCAACTGCAGTTTCACGTGTCGAGATGTATTAACGATCTATCTGAGGCAGATAAACAGGTAAGACTAAGCATTTATCATAATCAATAGGCCTATAAATGCAATAATTGAAGTTACAAGAGGTTGTGGCTTGCTTCAAAGCCTAAAAGTAGCCAGGGGTCGCTTCCCCCCCCCCTCTGGGAGAACTTGTGGTAGAGGGCACAAGTTCGGTCCTGCAGGTCTCTGGTTCAAACCCTGCCAATCACCAATGGATTTTACCAACGTGATAATACAGTTACAGTGACCCTATAGGCATTCCGGGCTAGAGCCAAGTGTCCTAGGATGTGGGGTGGGGCAAATAATACCCACCTCCCCCCCTGGTAATTAGGTCTATAGTAAAAATAGCCCTTTTGCAACAAACTTTGTTATTGTTTTACGCTATGTTTTCAGCAATATTCAATGTTGTTTCAATACTTTGCAACGGTTTAATTTCAACTTATGGTACCCAATGATCCAATATTTTAATTTTGCCCCAATATAAAATATAGGCTATTTTTTCAGTGGCTTTCAATTGTGCTTTGTGTTATACAATAGTGTTAACACTTATTTTTTCAGTATCGGTACAGTAATTTTCAGTTTTTACGATACTGCTGGTGTTTAAAAAATATTATTTTAAATTGGTTAGATTATTACGGTTTCACAATACCACCTCAGTATTATACATTGTTTCAACATTTTTACAGAACTTAGAAAACATTAGGAAACTCATTTTCAAACACCTAGACGACCAGTTTATTCAATGTCAGCAAAAAGACAAAGAAGAACAGCTGTTGAGGGTGCTTGGAATCTACCTATCTCTGGGGAAGTGCTCTCAAGCGGAGATGTGCTACAGACGAGAGAAGATATCTCCAGTGATGAATCAGCTGATAAACGAAGAAGCCCTGGCAAGCAACCCCGGAGGGCTGAAAGGGCTGTACAACACACTGGTGGCATTCGTGGACGAAGAAATGAAAACACTACGGTCGGCCACATTGTCTTCCGATAAGTGAGTTTTTATAGATTATTAGTTGATTCTTATTTCTTAGAAGGGATATGGTGGTCTTTTTTACCTTCCGGATACAACTTTTTTGCCCCGGCTTCCTAACCGATCCTAACTCTACTAATGGAAGTAAATGTCCTTAATTCGAGGATTAACGCATTCAGCAGAAGATCTGAGAGTTTAATTATTAAATATCCTGCATCGTTAGGATATTTGCCAATTCACTTTATCTTGTTTCGCAGAACTGACTTAAATAAATTAAATAATTATTTTGATACCATAAATAATTTAAAGTTATGTGGATTGGGCGATATTTGATTTCTTAGGGCATAGGGTTGAAAAATCTTTCTTTTTTATTAAGGATGTTGGCGGCTTCTTTTAACCTTGCATTTGCCGATCCACATAAACTAACTGCCCGTGTGTGGAAAGTGTCCAGCAAAAAAAGGGGTGATCCGGTACAGTACTGAACTGTACTGATAAAATGTTTGTGTCAGTGATCAGTATCCGAACCCACGACATTGCTGCCTTGGGCCTGAGGTATGTGATGCTACTGACTAAGCCACCGAGTCAACTAAACTGGCATTAATTACATCAGGCTTATTGTACACACTAATTTTTTTTTTTTTTTGAGGCTATTTATTTCACAGCTGTAAGGGTATTCGTATACCTTTGGTGAAATATTAATTATATTTTATTGTTGTTTCAGATTAGGAAAAACCAAAGGCTTTGATTTTGTAGTGAACAGCTTCTGGCCTGAAGTAGAAGAGAGGCTTGGTTTGAACTTGGCTTCGATTTATGCACCAGGAAATCCTGATAACTTCTTTATGGTAAGTTAACAAATATTGGGGCAGCCTTTTAAGTTTTAATTCTAACCTTACACTTTTAGAAACATACATAAAACAAATTATCTGCCTAAATGTGTTTTTAACTAAAATACAAATAAGAAAGTTATACGCAAAAGGATACTAACTAGAATTGTGATAAAATTGAGTAAGAAGCCATAATTTCTTCATTAAAGTATTCTCTGAAGAAGTCCTAGGACTTAGGATGTTGTGACTTTTTCATAGCTTAAGTGCTCAGGCTTATTTTCTGAAGAAAGCTAGCTAAATTGTGTTCCTTTCGGGAAAAATTCTTATCAGCCTTACAACTTCTTAAAATATCACAACCTCTTTTTTTGATATTTATCGTTGTTGTGGATTATCTGAAAAATGTTGTTTGATTTTTTTTATTAGGCCTACATTTATTTCTGATTATTTAACTTACGGTACATCAAAAACCAAATAAAGCATTTTTTACAATAAAATGTTTTATATTCCTCTTGTGACAGAATGATATCACTAACTGGCTTTGTGTGGATGTGGCTTAAAGCATGTCCTTACTCTTCTTTACTCATCTCTACCTTAAATGTTAAAAACAAATAAGGTTCAGATTTAACAAGATGAAAAGTCTTCCTACAGTATCTAAATTAAATAACCATTGCTGAGGCAAAAGTAGTGCAATTCCATTTTCAACAGTGTTACAGTGAAACGTTGGAGTTTTTGACCAAACTGGAAGCTCGTTGCGACAGCAGAAGTTTAAGAGCTCATCCCCAATACCAGAGCTTTATGCATCGCTGGAACCTCCCTGTTTACTTCCAAATCAGGTGATGCAAATTTCTTAATCGTACAAAAAAACCATCTGTTCAATTGCAATCTTTACCTTCCTAGAGGGTAAGTTTTAATTTTGGTCGAAATTCGACTCAGAGAAGTATTTTTAGCCTAAACAGACCAATACTTATGTTTAGGCATTTTTTGAGGGAAATTTAACAATTTGTTATGTTTATGGGTATCTGTTCACATTTAGGGTCAACCCTTTTTGTTGTTGTTAATCAACGGTTGGTATTCAAAGGTAGTTTTTGGTTGAAAGTAATCTACAGAATCAGTTACATTGTTTTTTTGAACACTGTAATCTTAAAACCTAACCCTGTAATTAAAGCTATTTCTTAAAAGATTCGACAATTGTTTTCTTTTATCTTCATAAAGGTAGTAACTATTGTGTCACGGCAGACAGTCGTTGTTGCCTTGCTAATTTTCCAATTAATTTTATTTTTTGTTATGGTTTCTGTTTAAAGGGGTGTGGTTCAGAAGGATTTAACTGTAGTTTAATTTTTATTTTAACTGGATGAATTTATTTATTATGTTAATTTGTATTTATTGGCATTGGAAACTGATTTTCCAGCACTCAAGCCCTTGAGTGTAGGCAGAAGAGAGTAACCAAGTTAATAAGTAAATTCAAAATAATTTTAATATTTTTAGAAGTTTAATTTAAAGGAAGGTAGGTATCCTGCCTGTCTACTGGCCTTGATAAACGTGGCGTTAGTGATTGACTGGAACTACACCTGTTATTTTATTATGTGAACTGTGACTGTAGGTTTCAAGAGATAGCCGGGAGCGTGGAGGCTGCACTCGTAGCAAGACCTGAGATGGAGGTGGAGGGGGATTGGAAGCTGACTGCCACAGCGGCAACATGGACTGGTCTGCTGCGATGTTGGGCGGACAAGGTTTACATCACGCAGCTAACTCACAGGTACACCAGTTTTTAGTTGAAATATTAAAACATAAGGTCAGTAGCGGTTACAGGGGCTAAAGCTCTTCCCAATGGCTGGAAAATTAAATTTGAACATTTCATCCTAAAAATGTAATGGTTTCTGACACAGTTATAGACGTTAAAAATGGCTTTAGAAAGTCACCAAACGGCTTTAAAAATAACAAATATTTACGGTGGAGGACTTTCCACTACCCCTCCTCCTTGTAGTCTTCCCCCACCCCAAAGTCCCAGAACCATATCTGCGTAAGCTTCCTCACTTCTGAGTTAAGTAGTACCTTAATTCACATCGCTTATTGTTTTTATTACAACAGCAATTCTCTCTCTATCTAGATTTGAGGCTTTAACACTAATATATTTTGTTGTTGTACTTGGTTGAACTATAGCAATGTTTTCTAATAGTGGAGAAAATAAACTGGAAATTATCATTATATTTCGGTATTAGGTTATCACTAATATGTTATTGAGCGATAACAGGTTATCGTAACCAGTTATTTTAAAACCTAATACAGTACGGGACCTCCAGGCCAATATCAGTCAGTCCGGAATGAAAGGACAACTTACCATGGCCAAGCTCAACTGTTGTTCCTCCGCCGTTACTGAACTGACTGTTATTTCCCTGGCGTTACTGAGCAGGTTTCTCTACATTTTATCTTGTTGACTGTTATTCTAATAGTTTTGTGATAAAATGTACCTTTTCCATTTCGCTCTAATATTATTAACACGGTTGTAGTTTTTTATTGACAAATAGTGTCATCAGAAAGCTTTTTTTACTAAAACCGTTATTCAAATAACAGGGTTCTAACATTAACCTAATATCACGATTAGAGTTATTTGTAGATAAGGCTGTTATTTTTACAAATTCGTTATTTACCACCTATTCCTATGAGGAGGATGGAGATAATAGGTTGTTCTATCCTTGTTCCTTAACTTTCAAAGAAAATATCAACTAAAATATCTGTTGTTTTTCAGGTTTTGGAAACTAAATCTGCAAATTCTTGGAAGGTATTACACATGGACGAATGAACTACTGGAGAAGGTAAACAATTGTAAAGTTAAAGAATTTCTAAAGCTTAAGGATGTAACATGGAACACAATGGCCTAGGTTTTAGCTTGTGGGGGTAGCAGGCTTAGCCTACCTAAATGGGGAAGAGTCCAAACAGACACAAGTAACACAAGCTTTATACTATAAACAAATATTTACATGTATATCACCTGTTTCGCTAGTATTGTTGAAAAATTGAAATGTGAGTAATGTGACAATAAGTAAGTATATTAAATTAAAATTAAATTAAATATTAAATTTCATTTTAGTAGACTAAAACAACAGTCCTGTTCCGCAATGTAGGATGTTGGTTGGATTTCGGTAGAGATTGTGGATAATCGTCTGAGGTGTAAGCATTTGTCGGCCATTTTGACCTACTATTGCGACAATTGTCACGTTATAATTATTGCAGTCAAACCCAGTTTATGTGGTGTTCAATAATCTGTACTTAGCACTGCCAGTAAATTTTGTTTGAATATTGGAAATCGACACTGCTGAAGTTTTTAATGTTCCAGTTTAGCAATTGTAGACTGTAAGCAGTTTTGGTCAAATCAAATCAAATCAAATCATTTATTCAGCCAGAATTAACAATATACAAGTTGTATTGGCTAAGTCAAAATGAAATAAAAGTTGGATTCATATACTTAAGAACTATTTACAAATATACAATCTTATACAATATACAATGGTGCAGATTTATATATAAGTATTTGCATCACTATTAATGGAACTGAGTTTAGATGTAAATTCTTGGACGCTATAACAGGTAAACTTAATCAACAAAGATTTTAATTGTCTTTTAAATTTTAACAGGTTTGGTTCAAGTTTAAGAAAAAGTGGAAGTGAATTAAAAAGTGTTATGCCATTGTACAGTAAGTGTTTCTTGAAGAAGGTTGTTGAATGTTTAGGAATAGGTAATGTGTGTGAATTGCGCAATGTGTATTGGTTTTTTACAGAAAAATCAAATTTAGAAAATTCCTGTTTCACAAATGTTAAAGATTCAAGAATGTAAATGGATGGGAATGTCAAAATCTTTGAACTGAAAAAATATTGTCGGCAGGATTTGCGCTCTTTTAGAGAGAAAATAGTTCTCACAGCCATTTTTTGGAGTTTAAACAACATTTTAGTTTGCTGGCACTCACATCCCCATATAGGAACGGCGTATGCTAAGTGGGGATAAATGAGCCAATAGTATGCCGTCAACATTATCTCCAGATTCTCATTTGGTTTGTTAGAAAAGAGAAGGAATTTCAATTTTAGTTATTCATCTGGTTTAGTGATGTTTCATTGGATGCATTTTGCTTACAGAAAGGTGAAGCAGCAGTGGATAAGGCAGAAGTGTGGGTGTTCCTTTACTCTGATGTTACGACGCTTAGCAGCCGAGTAGATCAGCTGTTCCAAGTTGCCAATTCAAGGTTGCATCCTGGAGTGTCGTCCAATATGAGGAAACAGCTTCAAAGTAAGTCAAGTTGGTCTTGTTGTTCTATTTTAAGATTTTTACAATTAAGAAACAATAAAAAATAAAAATGTGTAAGGTATTCCTGGTAAAGATACCATATATATCTTTATGGTGTAACCAAACTAACTGTATCTCAAATTTTTATAAGTTTTTTCTATTTTTTTTCAGAGTGCCTAGAGGAATGGCAGGAGAAGCTGTTGTCCCAGTTGACCCATATCAGTGTTCGGCTGGTGCGTAGTGTTTGCTCTGCGAGTGTGGCAGCACTGCGGCAAGTCAGTGAGGTGCCTCGACTGTACAGGCGTACCAACCGTGACACACCTAATCACAGTCTGCCTTACATAGGTGAGGATAGAATTGATTGATACGAAATAAATAATTTTTCATTTCAATTCAATCATAACACATATATTAAAAAATAATACCTACTTAACTTAAAATCCTTATTTTTATTGCATCTATCGGTAATTTTTTATTTTGTTTCTATGTAAGTAGGCCTAAGTGGTTTGTTTTATTTTTTACGTTCTTGTTTAGGATGTAAAAGCTTGTTACAGTTTATCATTCCACATAGTTTAAGCATTGGTTTTAGTGTCATACACAGGTAAAGTGTCCCTCTGAAACATTTATATTTTCATGTTTGTGCCATGATATACTGTATATCCATAGCTTTCTACATTTCAGATACGATGCTAGACGCCCCTCTAACATTCTACGAGAGCCACCAGACTCATCCGCAGGTTATACCTTGGCTGCAGAGTGTCTTCTCCGAGATCACTAAACAGTGAGTGTCCGCATTCAGTTGTATTTCTGTGTAAAACGCTAGGCTCTAGGCCCTGGATGGTTTTTACATATCTCCAAGGGGGTTGCAGCATTATCCCTTGGATGAAAACCATTAGTACACTGCCAATCAAGTACAATCAGGTTTCCCTTAAACGAGTAAATATTTCGCCTATTACTTAGTCAAATCGATGAATGGTGGGATTTGAACCTTGGACCTCAGGAGCAAAGTCTCTCGTTCTACCACGACCAGCTCGCTTCTCCTTATTACTGTGTGGATTAGAACCAAATCATTTACAAAACATGCATACTCATTGTGCATTGGAGTTAAAACCACGTGAAACTGGCACCTGATAATGTGGTAGAGATCCAAGTTCGTGTTTTAGACTAAACAAGTTTTTTCAAGAAGTTTGGCAGCTTCTTTATCCTTGTGTTTCCTTGTGCACATGGCCTTCAATAGCCGATACTGTATTAATAAAAAGATGAATTTGTTTTTTGTTTATCATTGCTGACACTGAAAGGATCGAGCTGTATTACTTTTGAAACAAATCTAATGGTTTGCATGTCGTTTTCCAGGTATTACGCAGCAGTAATGGATGTTTTGACGTCCGTTCAGAAGACGGAGGAGAGTTTGCGAAGGCTGAAGAAAATCAGAGACAGAACAGTAGCGCAAGGCTCCACTCCGGACCGAGGCGGGGATGACGACAAGATCAGAATGCAGCTGTATTTTGATGCTAATTATTTTAGCAAAAAGGTGGGTCTTAGTAGTGTATGTATTGCAACAACAATCTATCCCCTAGCTCGATCTATTCTCTTTATTTACTCTATGTATTTTATTAGTTCTGATCGAATTTCATCAGACCTCACATCTCTTGGCTTATTGCCTATGGCTGACCTGTGCCTTTTACGCACTTCCTGCATCATCCGAAGGGTAATGTCAGAGGAGAGACCTCAGTACCTGAAGGTAAGACTGAGAGCTCGCTCTGAGATGCGATCCCGATGCACACGGCAGGATGACACGCTGGAGATGCCCCGTGTGCGCTGTGAGTCCGACCGTTGTGGGTTTTCTTATTTTGCTCCTAAAATCTGGAATATATTGTCATCCAGGATTGAGCCAGGGGTGTTGGACAGTGAAAAGTCGTTTAAAAAATATGTAACTAATGGCTTGAAGAATGGTAAAATAAAAAGGAATAGAGAACATATTTTAATTTTTAATTAGCCTAACTTAAGATTTGAAGGTTGCCTTTGTTTTATATTATTTATGTTGACGCGAGTTGTTTTGAAAAACATATGTTGTAGTATGAAAAACGCTCAAGAATAAAGATGATTTTCATTTCATTTCATTCATTTCATTTCATTTCATTTCATTTCTTTTGAAGGACCCTCAAGGAGCAAAATATCTATTGCACTCAGTTATGTTTTTGCACCATCAACATTTTATCCCTTTTATTGTTTTATTAACGTAATGTCTATTCAGTGGTTTGTGTTATTTCAGATTGAAGAAGTTGGAATAAGAAAAGAAAATGTGGAACAGCTAAAGGATCTTTTGAAACTGGTAGAAACTCTACACAACAAGAACGGACTGAAATAGTGCCGGCATGTACTGAGGTCAATTAGTAGATGTGATGTTATCAGTTCCAAAATAGTCTGATCTGTGTCATTCGAAGCAATACTAGGGACTGAAACATCGGATAAGTAACAGTGATTTTAACGTGCCTGTGAAAATACACCAAATCGCTCCGTAGTTTTTTTAAATCACAATGTTCCTAAAAATTATAAAGGGACAAGTTAAATCATTGAAAATTTGTCTATTGCTATTGCTATTGTTTATCATATAGAAGTTTGTAATATCTCTTGAATGCATTATTATTGTTACACACTTTCCTGTTGATTAATACGTAAGATGTAAATTTATCCATTATGTATATTAGTTGTATGTTGGTTGTACATAGTTTGCTATGCTGTAAGATAATATAAAATGCCGTATCTTTTTAAAATAAAGCTTTATTTATGATTGTTCTGTATCTAATTCATGTGTTTTTATTCCTTGATTTGTGTTAGGGTGTAATAATGGTTGCTTTGACAATTCTATGTGAAAATACTGAGTTTAAAATAAATTTTATAATAGTTTTAGTGAGTCGGTGGCTCAGTCGGTAGCGTCGCGGACTTCGGGCCCAAGGCAGTAGTGTCGTGGGTTCGGATCCTGATCACTGCCGATAACATTTTATCAGTACAGTTCACCTTTGTACTGTACCGGTTCACTCCTTGCTTTGCTGTAAACGATCCACGCACGGGCGCTTAGTCTATGTGGACGGGCAAATGCAAGGTTAAAAGAGGCCGCCAACCTCTTTTTAAAAAAAAGAAAAAAGAGAAAAAAAGTTTAGGGTTTACTTTTTGGCAAGCATCAGATAAAATATCCGAAGTGTGATTATCCATATCGTGGTCAGTATTATTGGTTACTGCTTCGTACAATACACAATAGACAAATTTTGGGGCTCAACGCTTGATCACCACCTTGCGCGTAAACCATTGGCTTGCCCCATATTGGGCCGCTTCCATGACTAGTAGTAAAACATTTTTGTCAGTCTAGATTTAAATTCAAAAGGTATATTGAAGGGCTCAATAAATATGTTAACAGTGTAATAACTATATTTACAACTTAAAACTGTTTAGTACAAAAGTTTACACATATTTACATTCAAACTAAAATCAACTATTGTCAGCTGTTGCCATTTTCCTTTGTTTTTTCAGCTGCTCTTTTCTCTTCTTGCGCTTGTTTCATACGTGCTAAAACCGATGCTTCAAAATCTTCATACAGCTTATCTTGTCTTTTCTGAACAAAAATGTCATATATTTTAATTAGAGTGTCAAAAATTTCTAATAGGCTATTGAGGGTATTTATTACTAGCACTAGTGATGATAATTCTGAAACTAGTATTAATTACCTGTTAGTTGTGACCAGTTGGAACTAGAAACGGTGGACTAATTTTGACAATGAACTTGACAAATCTCATCACATGAGCACACAACAGACAAAGAAGTTTATTGTCAAAGTTTGTTCACCATATTTTAACCACTTTTAGCTTTTAAAATATAACTGAAATGATTATGGTATTTTTCAAGTGCAGATAAATTTCATCTGGTTGACCTTATCAAGCAAATTGACCAGTGGTGTTGCTCTTAAGTTGCCTACTTTGTGGAGTCAATCTCCACAACACAACACTGTTTAAATGTCCCGCCAATCTCAACCCCAGAGCTGCTCGCGCATGCGCAGGGAGCAGGCGAGTAGGACGGGTGAGAAAACGCTCTGTCGTGTGCCTGGCTTCGGACAAGATGGAAGACTAAGTTCTTTGGGAAATGGGGGGACGCCCCCTTGAGGTATTGTGTCGTAGTAGTAATATTAAATAATATGTAATTTCAGATCATCACATCAAATCCAATATATCATTAATTCCATTGTTAATTATTCGTCGTTAATTCAGATGTTAGTTCACGTTGTGTCCAGTCAACTTATATATTAATTATTTCATATGTTGAACAAAGTACATATTTCTGAGATATAAATGCATTAATTAATCAAACAATCATCAAAGCTGGCTCTTAGGGCCTGTGAATTGCGGTAAATTGTCTCCTCTGTATTAAATAATGTGTTCAGTTTACGTTTCCAACAAGAACGATTTGGTCTGGAATTTGATTCACTTGACCAGGTCACCAAAATGTGGCACCATTATGCCACAAGTTGGAATTGCTGTAATAGCATGCTCGGAAGGCCAACACCACTGGCCAAAAGAAAAATTATTAACGCAAAACGTTATGTTTGCTGGTAGAAGATATCTTTAGAGCAACTTTGAAACTAAAATTACTTTGAGTTGGTGCAAAAAAACCACTAAACTTAATGTTGAGCTGATACAGAGAGAAATGCGGCGAATGATGTAGGCCACATTACATACACTTGATTTTGAATTCCAATTTGTTAATATAAACGACAAAGTTCACTGAAATAAACTCCATCAAAAAATCTTTTTTTGAGCCAACTGAATGCAAAGGCTCATCAATACTTATAGAATTGAATGTGGTCTCAATCACAAGTGTGCAGCAGCGATTGTGAACTGTCCGCTGTTACAATAACATACTTAGGACCACTGGGTAACTGAACAAAGTGATACTTAACCTGAAGTTTTTAGTTCCGTTTATCTGTATTACCTTTTTACACTGTTCGTACATTTTCAAGAATGTTTTGTTAAGAATAATTTGATTTTGGGGTTTGAGATTTAACCGAGGAATTTGATGTAGCATAAGCTGGACAACAGATTACTGATTAGCTAGAGAATACCACGAAAATTATGGAATGAAACCAGTACAAACCAAATTCTGGAAACTGGGTAGTGAAAAATGTAACAATCATCAAACATTCGTGGATGTTTATCCCAGACTTGTCAGATATAAAACCATTACACTCTGGTACAACCCCTAATTATTCTCACACTGCAAACAAAAACCAAAAACTATTAATGACCAAAGGGGTAACGACTAGTACTAGTACAAACCTTTGTGAAGATGTCTGGCCCAGGTACAAAGCAGAGGAACGTCCGTTGTGCAGGGCTAGACACCGAGGGGAACACGGTGTTACCCGCAGTACAAGCAGCTGTAGGTCTCTCCCTCCCTTGACTAGCGGAGGTGGTGTTTGTGGAGGGGGGAGGAGTGCCGAGCCAACTCACTGTCAGCGGATCTGACATGAAGCCTTTCTCCAACTGTTGCGCCTTCACCTGTCAACAGATTAGAACATTGAGACACATTGCAAATTTGTTGTTATTTTTAATGATGGTAAGTTTGACGGTCTATGAGGGATTATTGTAATTTCTCATGTTGATTAGTAAAGTTTCCTAAAGGATCTGAAATCAGGTGAGGAAGTATTAAGCCCTATCATGATTAGTACAAACCCAGCCAATACTGGAAAATTGCCCAGAGAAATGTATGGTAACTTATTGATAACCACATTCCACTGCCATGTTAAAATTGTCGCCAGTAAACTTTAATTGTTTTATAATTTGAGAAGTTTTCTTAAGTATAAGCAGTATGAGGCATGTTTTACTACTGTATTTGTAAACATAGCCAAAACGAGCAAGTATTTTATACAAATTGATATTGCCATTATTTTATGATTTATTTTATTTTAGGATAAGTAAACCACGTTTCCTAATGGTAAGCGTTATTTTTAATAAGTTAGGAGTAATTAATATAAATTTGTTATAATGATATTTTTAACAACAGATTTTTAATATTCTTGCCTATTATTATTTTTGTATTTTAACAGCCATCTAACAATATTATAAAATCAGATAAAAATGTCAAATGTGCATTTCCCGTTATGTATGAGAAGGGAAATCCCGTCTCGAAATTTTATGAGAAATAAAAAATCTCGTCCCAAACTAAAAATCCAATCTCGTCCATCCCTAGTTTCTTGTGCTTGAGAAGACTATTTACCATTCAGGTAAAATTTCTATTATCACAAAAATACCTATAGATGAATTTAAGTTAGGTATTAAATATTGGGCATATTTTATATGTGCAGTGTGTGTTGTTGTTTTGTTTTTGTTTTAGTTTTTTACTTTACTACTATTAACTACAACTAGATAAACTATTACAAAGTAGTCAAACATGGAGTAAAATTTACTATAAGAGAAAAAGGTACCATTTAGTAAACACTAAACACAAGCTCTATTTAACTTTAACGAATATACTTCATGAAATGAGAAGCCTAAAATGCAATATCTTGAGTCAATGGACAAATTCAACTACATAAATGAATACATTGATTGTACATAAGATGGCAACCTGTGTAAAAATGGAAGAAGGTATATAAAAAAGGGTAGGGATAGATGTACATGCATGCACTTGAATTAACCCTTTGCGGTCGAATGGCAAGTATAGGTCGCCGCCTGCCATTTTCCCAACTGCTCAAAAATGGCGATATATAATTTTAAAAAATCAAAAAGTTTGGCTTTGCGGTCGAATGGCGAGTATAGGTTACCGAGTGCCATTTTCCCGACTGCTCAGATGGTAACCTATACTTGCCGAAAAATAAAAAAATTCAACCTCAAAGGGCTAAAAACTATTAGTAAATGACCAAAACAAATTAAAATAAGGTAAGCAATCTGACACATACTTAATCCCATTAACTTGTCAATAACCCTTATGGGTAAGCGGAGGAGGTAAAAATGATACTTTATGGGGAAAATCACAAAATCTGCAATAGCTTGAAGCGTAATTTTTACTGCATTAGGAGTTGTGCAATTTTGTTTAAAGTTAAAATCATTATAAGTTAACATACTATATTTTAATCAAATTCTGATTTTAATCAAAATAGTACATAACATCCAATACTGTAAAAATTGTGGTTGAAAAGTTATTACAACTTTTGTAATTTTTCGCATTAAATATCAAAGTTACTTTCACTGTTTAATCAATTATAGTTATTGACAAGCTAATAGGAGAAAGTATGTGTCACTTTGCAGATATTTATTAAACTTAAGCCTAATACTCACAGCTGCATCCGTTGAGGCAAACTCGAGCAAGGCAGATCCTTTTTTCTTATTGGACACTACCAGAGCCGATATTTCTCCATACTAAAAATATAAATTATCATAATCATATTCTGGTGAAATAAAACAGTAAAGTGATTGTTGAAAACAATTATTAAGCCTTGTATGTTACCCTTGCTACCAATTACTGCACTGTATTAATTGTAATGCACTAAGTTATAAACTTAATTATGAAAATAAAATAGTTTATTTATTATTAATCAACAGAATTTATTCAATCAGGGTCTACCAGTTAAACTAAATTTCACTGACCTCTCAGTTACTTTGGGGGAAGACGATGTTATAACGCATTAGCAAAATCCAAGAGGAAAATTTCTGTCAACAATAAGCTTTTGACCTTGCTGAGTTTTGGGAAAAAAATTATTCAAAAATAAATTTTACCTTAGAGAATATTTTTTGTAGGTTATCGTGGTTATAAGATTCATGATTTGTCCATGTCAGTTTGAGCCTATACAAGGAAGTATCTGCTTGAGCCGAGCCGGAACCAAACTTTTCTTTCTGCACCTCTTGTCGGACCAACTCTATCTCTTCCTCCAACTGCTTGGAGCCTTCCTTTCTCAGCCTCTCAATCTCCGTCTGAAAACAAAAACCCAGTTCCAAAGTACTTAAAAAGGTATTAGCCTACTAAAGCAATTAACTGGAGATTGATGGTGAGACCAAAAGCGGCGCTTAACGATACAATCTCAAGTAAACAAGCAAAGCAAGGGCAAGAAAAGTGTAAAAATTGAAAAATTTGACTGTATGATAAACAATATATTTTTTATACTGCGTTTGTAAGCTTATAACCGTTACTTTACTGAAATTTTAAACATTTTTACCTTTAAAGTCAGTTTCAAATAGGACTTTATTACCTTAATTAACCTCCTCCTTGACCGAGACCAGCAGAGCCGGATAGGTTGCGTCAATTTTAATATTTACACTAAAACTTCCATGGATTGGAATTAGAAAACTTAAGTTAAGTACTTAGGCGGTGGATGATTTTGCTGCAGGCTTATTAAAGTTTCTCATTAAGATAATCTTGTAGGCTGTAGTATGGCATCTCTCAACAAGTTTTTCAGAGCAGTACGAACGGCCGTTTCCCCTTGGTTTTTGATTGAAGTAGGGAGGTGGTTGTAAATCTTTGGGGCAAGCGTTGGGAATGAGTTTTTTTGTTTTTGACAGCCGGCAGAAAGTTATGTCCAGGTCAGAGCGATGTCTTGTACTATGGCTATGAACATTATTTCTTTAAGGGAATTTGTGTAGATTTGCCTTCACATGGTCGGCTGACATAAAAATGTATTGACTGATGAATGTTAAGATACCGGTGCTGACAAACAGAGGTTTGCAATGGTTATTTCTTTTACTAAAAGAAAAAATACGTACTTTTTTTGTAATTTGAGATCTTCTTGATAGTGCATGGCCCCAGAGAAGGAGACCATAGCTTAAAACACAATGGAACAGAGCATGGTAACTATACAGAGCGTGGTGGATAATAAACATTAAAATAGCATCAAGCTTTTGCTGTTCATAAAAAAAATCTGTTGTCAAAGACTTACTATTATTTACATCCATTCTAGTCAGCAAACACACAGGCTACTATTAGTAATATGTTAGACTATGTTGTTTAGCCAAAATGCAACTAGAAACTATTAATAGGCTAGTAATTGTGTAATTTGGGCTGTTAAACATTAAACTACGGTACCTTTAATTCATGAAACCTCTAGTTGATTTAATTTAAAACGATTAACATACCGGTACCGTACATAACACTACATTTGAAAAACAAACTGAGAGATTGGCCACTGGCAAAGCCCTTCTGTACTCCCAAGATGATTTTAATTTTAATGTGTTTAACCTGAAAAAAAACTTACATGTTGGCCTATATAAATCAAAGTTTTTTTTTCTCCGTCCTTCCAGCAAGAGCTGGTGACTAACACCAAGGGAGGTAATTAAGGCAGTTCCATTTATGAAAGAAGTAGGCCTAGTCTTAAGTGACGAGCCAAAAAATATTTTCTTACCTTTAGTTTTTCTTCAGCACTTTTTTCTTTCTTTCTATTAAAGTCAGCCTGGCGTTCTCTAGCTTCTAAATCTTCCTTTAACTTTTTTCTTCTTGAATCGAGTTCTTTATTGCGGATTACTGCAGCTTTTTTAGCGTTCAAAACCTTATCGTAGGCAGCCTATAAACGGCAAAGAATAAATTGGTTTGACAAATTAAACCCTTTCATTTTAATCAATTTGTTTAACAAACAAATTCGGTATAACCAGATTATCTGATATAATTAGGTTTAGAACTTATTGTGTTGTCATTGAGTAAAAATTTATCTGTTCAAAAAGATTTAGGCGGTTAAAAGGGATTGTTCCATTACCACATTGTTTTTTAATGTATGCTCCCAGCTAACTGACCCATTAAGCTTAATGATATGCTAAATATTTCCTAATAGTAATTTAAATCAAATAGGTTAGTTTTTCCACTTTTAAATACAAAAACAACAAAAGATATTTTATATTCAATAACTGTTCTAAAGTTTAGGTAAATCTAAAGACATTTGGATCACTTCTCCTATTTTGGAATCTCAAAGAGAAAAGTTTCAATTCCATTAAATAACTTGTTTAGTAAGAAGAAAGAACACGGTCACTTAACAATGAATTAAATTATGAACACTTACCCTCGCTGAAGCATCGGTAAGCACTTCCAATGCTCTAGACAGCTGATGAAAAAGTTCTGCTGCTTTTGGATTGTCAGGATTTTTATCAGGATGGCATTTCAGGGCACTCTTTCGATAAGCTTTCTTCACCTAAAAATAATAACATTGGACTGTAGATATTGAGTAATAAGAAGAAATCTCAATTTATCCACACCAGACTAAAGCATTTCGCATTAAGTTATGCTGTAGATTTGATTGAATCTTGATTACCAAATTCCATAAACATTTTTATTTAAATATTTTATGATACTAAATTATTATTTTTAGTGATTTTTGTTAAAGTACCATTTTTTATTTTTTGTATCTAAATTACCAATCATAATGCAACATTTTTAGTGTCAAGTTTTGTTTTTGGTTTTATTTAGTTTCTAATTAATGCAGATTTTATCAGATTTTCATAACAACAGTTGTCCTTACAGAAAAAAGTACAGTTGCAGTTGTCTCTGGTACATATAGCTTAAAAGTTAGCTTATCACGTTTATTTAAATTTATTTAAATATTCTTGTTTCAAAATTAGGCTTAATTGGCTTTAATTGGTTTAATTAGAATCGTTAAGACATATCATATCAACAAGACATATTTAATACTATTAAACAACTATTAATGGAATTGTTCGAATACAAAAATTTGTTTGTTTTGTAAAATATCTTAAATTTCTGTTTTAAAAGTCTTATCAAGTCAAGTTGTTATTTTATTATTTTTTTACATTTTAACTTATGCAAGGAGCTGAATGTTAATTGTGTTTATTCCTCAGTAGTGATAGAGAAATTGTTTTATTTTATTAGCTTAGTTATTTTAATTACGATGTATTACGTCCCAAGTATGTGTGTGTGTGTGAATGTGTCTGTTGCAGCTACGCCGGTGCGCGTCGTCGGCGCCTCGCCGCGGGTCCGAGCTGTAGGTCCAGGATAGCGGACCTGCACAGCGTCGCCTCAGTCACCCCTCCCCCGCCCACTCCTCTCCCTACTGATAACGCCCAGATCCTTATCAACAACCTCGCTCCCTTTGCCAAACAATTCAAAGCTGCTCACATCAATGCTCAATCCCTCACAAAACATATTGACGAAGTCAGAGCAATATTTCGGACTCAAAATTTTGAAATCATTGCAGTTTCAGAGACTTGGTTGAAGCCGAGTATTTCGCCTGGGTTGATCGCACTGCCTGGTTATTCAGTTTTCAGAAACGATCGTTTAGGAAAAACAGGTGGTGGCGTTGCCGTTTATGTGAAAGACGGTTTGCAAGCCAGGCAGTTGTACGAGTCCCCGGGTGAGTACTCTGCTAAACCTGAATTTATTTTTTTGGAAATTCGTTTGTCTGGTTCGGATGCTCTTCTCCTGGGGACATGTTACCGTCCTCCGGGAGTGGGGCATTTGGCCGACTTTGAAAATACTCTCTTGCGCCTCATGCCAGGCTACAGTCGTGTCTTGATCATGGGTGACTTTAACTGTGACTTACTCAAACCTGGACGTTACGATTGCAGACAATTGACAAACATGTTTGACTCTTGTAACTTGGCGATACTACCACTGGACCCAACCCATCACACTGCTGAAGCTGATACATTACTAGACCTTATTATTCTAAGTGATCCCGAATTTTCAGTTCACCATGGCCAGCTTCCAGTCCCTGCCATTTCTCGACATGACCTTATTTATTGTGCCCTTGCCACGAGAGCTCCCAAGCCCAAACAAAAACATATATCTTACAGAGATTTCAGAAATTTTAACGAAGAAAATTTTTTGTCTGATGTAAATTTAACGCCTTGGCACTCCATACATACCCTGGAGTCAGTTGATGATATGGTCGATTCACTTAATGAAACCATTTTAAAATTATATGACAAACACGCTCCAATTGTCAACCGTAGGGTTAGTAAAAGTCGCCCCGTTCCTTGGATTAATGATGAGATAATTGGTTTAAGGGGATTCGCCACTGAAAAGGGTGCATTTTTTTATTTAATGAGGAAAGTCGTTAAACTATGTTTTTTTCTAGTAGGGTATAGTTTAACAAAAAATGGACAAATTTTGGTTTACTTCTAAATATAAACTATAGGCGGTAAAAAAATAAAATAGAGGTTTCTCGATCAATTTGTAAGGGGTTTTAAAAATCTATATTCTGAAGAGAGTTCTTTATGGATTTTGATAAGTTTGGTGTTTTTTAAAGACAGTTATCTAAACTTAAAATTTAGGTAGATTCATAATAATATCTCAGATACTTTTTTTGCTGTGACACATTAAATATAATTTTTCTTCAGAAAAAAAAATTAGTTTGAAAAAAACTTTATTGTTCAGTACCTAATTAACTTAGATACCTAATTCTACCAAAATATTTTCCTAATACTGTCTAGAATAAGTAGTAAAAATTTCAACAATGTACCTTTAGTGGCTCTCAAGATATATCAAATTTTGTATTGAAAAACGTGAAATTTCAATGTTGCGGATAACAGCGTTTGAATAAGAAGGTGTCCTATGATCTTGTAGCTATCGTAAAGAGCGAAACCCCTTGGTTATAATATATAATAACATTCATACATGGATTATATCATACTTTTTGGATGTAATAGGGTCCAATGTACAAAGAAATGTAAAAAAATATTTTTACAATTTTTCATGATTTTTACCTATTTTCAGTGGCGAATCCCCTTAATGGCTCGGCGGGACTCGGTCCATCGCAGAGCCAAAAGAACTAGGGATCAAGGGCTCATGGCCCAATATCGCCAGCTTAGAAATCAAGTAAAACAACATTTACGCAATGCTCGACTCCAATTTTTTAATAGATTGTTTTCTGAAGGAAAGCAATCCTCTGCTATTTGCTGGCGTAATCTAAAACGTTTTGGCTTTGGAAAGCAAGTTAACATTGTCCCCATATCAATTCCGTTGAACGATTTAAATGATTATTTTTTAACAGTTTCATCACAGGCAAACGGTACAATAGTTCAGAACCATTTAACAGAGTTACGCCATTTGCCAAATTCCATCACTCAATTTAACTTCAAGCCAATATTGCAAATCGATGTTTTGAAGGCTATAAGGCGGTTAACGTCTGAAGCCACTGGTTCTGACAGAATCCCAATTTCTTTAATTAAACGTATCTTGTTTGCTCTCCTCCCAACATTAACTTTCATATTTAATACTTCACTAAAATCAGGTATTTTCCCAGAAAAGTGGAAGTCTGCGCTTGTCCGTCCCTTGAATAAAATCTCATCCCCATCGCTTCCGCAAGACTACAGACCAATTAGCATTCTTCCCGCTCTTTCTAAGGCACTAGAAAGAGTCATTCACTCCCAAGTTTCTGACTTCTTGGTACAAAACAACATCCTCAATAGCTTTCAATCAGGTTTTCGTAAATCTTACAGTACTGAAACGGCAATGCTTCATGTAACTGATGACATACGATTTGCTATGGATCGTAGCCAATGTACTCAAGACGTAGCCGAACCTCAAGCATCCTGACATAAAGAACCAGCCAAACTTTTCAAAACTGATATAATTTTTAACCTAAACCTCAAGATTCCTGACATAAAGAACCAGCCAAACTTTTCAAAACTGATACAATTTTACACCTGAACTTCAAGATTCCTGACATAAAGAACCAGCCAAACTTTTCAAAACTGATACAATTTTTAACTCGAACCTCAAGACTCCTGACATAAAGAACCAGCCAAACTTTTCAAAACTGTTATAATTTTTAACCTAAACCTCAAGATTCCTGACATAAAGAACCAGCCAAACTTTTCAAAACTGATACAATTTTACACCTGAACTTCAAGACCCCTGACATAAAGAACCAGCCAAACTTTTCAAAACTGATATAATTTTTAACCTGAACCTCAAGATTCCTGACATAAAGAACCAGCCAAACTTTTCAAAACTGATACAATTTTACACCTGAACTATGTCGAAGAACAAAAAAGTTTCAAAATATCCCTGTGGTGAATGCAACATCGGTGTAAAATACTCCAGTATAAAATGTACTGGTCCCTGCAACTCCTGGTTTCATGGTGGGTGTGTCAATATCACAGAAAAACAATTAAAAAACCTTTCTAAAGAAGACATTTTCCTATGGAGGTGTAACAATTGTAGTGATCTTTCCCTCACCTCTGGAAAGCCAGCGTTACAACTAAAAGAAGACCAAACTCCCACACCCCCAAATCAAATATCCTCTGAAAGTCAGGGTAACAAAATGGGCGAGGTAGAAAACAAAATTCTAGAACTAGAAAACTCAGAAGATCCCGATTTAGAAACTTCTCTAACACTTGCAGCAGAAGTTGGAAACGCACTTCTAGCACAAAATAGCAAACTAAGAGAAGAAGTACTCAACCTGACTCAACAAAACTCGAGTCTGGCCCAGAAACTAACAAACATACAAACCATCGACATCATGAACTACCACGCTCAAATTGAACAACTAGAAGATGAGAAAAATACTATTCTAATTAGAAACAACGACCTAATCGAAACAATAACTGAACTAGAACACCAATTGGAAAAGGAAGTAAGCCTGAGAAACACTCTCACAAAAACATTTGAAGATTATGACAAAGACAGGGAAGAAACTTTTAATAGCTTCAACACAAAAATAAAGGACATGGAGAATGAAATTAAATGCCTTAGGCAAAAAAATACATGCAGCAGAATAAACACCGGAGAAGAATCTACAAAATCATTCAGAGAGACAAGCACACAGACAACCACTACAGAGGCGAAGGACCTCACAAACAAAACCACAGTTTCAGACAACAAAAATCCAGAAGCATCAAACACAGAAACACTAATTCTACTTGAACTAAAGGCCCTAAAAGAAAAACAGAATAATATGGAGTCAAAAATGAAGAAATTAGAAGATAAAATAACAGTAGAAGATTCCCAGCAACTAATAACTGAGAAAAAGGAGACTCCTTGCAAGCCAATTAACACACCAAGACGAGTTTCATATAATAAAAACAAATTGGCAACTACTAAGAAAACCCATTTCAGTGTTTCCTTGCAAATAGCAAAAAGCAAGTTGAGGAAAGAAGCACCAGAACACCAAAGTCAACCACAACAAACAAAAAAACAAAATATTAAAAAACCCAAGGCCATCAAAATTCC